CTAGAGCACCGCTATTAACGCCTGATTTCAAAAATTATCTTAATTTCTCTCAGAGCAATACTTCATGGAGAAAACTTAACCGATATATGGAATCAGCACATCAGAGACCCCAACCCCAAGTAAAGCTTTAACTAGAGTCATAAACAAAACTTTAAAAACTAAGGGTATGCGACACTACATGCCGCACGCGATTTAATGTAGCAGTCTTTGCATGCGGCATGTGCTCACTTGTCGTGAATGTGCTAAAAAAGCTTTATTCTTCTTGTGCTACATCTAGGTGAGGGACACCAGGGAATTTTGCTATTTGAAACGGTCACCTTTGTGGTTTTCTTAATTCATCATTTCGAATCTTTCCCACAAATCTGACAAGAACGAATACAACAAGGGTACTTTCAGTAAAATTTTCTTTTCGCAAAACAAAAGGTCCTTTTATTGCTCTGTGTTGACACCCCGCAGATTTCGAAGAAATTCTGATGGATGTGCTAATTTTAAATTTATCTGACCAATAATTTTCTCGGCCCAGATTTTGTTTTTTACCAGCGCAGAAAACTGTCCAATTTTGCTTCATATACCTTCTCTATGCAAGACAGTTCAGCCATATGCGAGCGGAGGATTTTTGAGTATTTGGCCTAGTTTTAGATTTATTATGAATTATAACTTTTTTTTTGTTGCGCTAATATCCAAACACAGTCATTGCAGGTCTTCGAAAAGAAGCGACATCCTCGGACCGTTATTGTTCTATTGGGAGATATATCAAATGAAAGGATTGCCGGACCTACTTGAGCCGAACAACATAGCAGACTTGGAAAAAGCGATGGAAAAAATTTCTCAAATGGTTCATGAACCTGGTAGAATTCTGTTCATTAAAAAAATTTTTAAGGTCTCTTAGAGGTGTGCGAAAATTGTTGTAGACATGAAATATTACCTATGTTTAGACGCGGATAAAAGCAGCATACATGAACTGCCAGCCATGTTTCTCAACCATTTGAACATAGTGGGCTTACTCTCTTTTCAAATGTTTTCTTGTCATCAAATTTTTGCGTTCTTAAGGTGGAGGAGTGCTGCACCGATTTACCGCTGTTTCTTAGAGATTTATCAAATCAAGGCATTTGCTTGACAAACAAAACTGAAAAATCACCTGTGGAAGACTTCATAGTTAATTTTGAAAAAGCAAGTTTGGTCCATTTTTGAATGTTTATTCAACTCTTCTTTTACTCATTATGGTCTTTAGGTACTGCAAGAAGTCGCGGTAGGAGACATTGATGTAAATTACCTGAAAGAGCTAAGCCATGTTAAATTGAATGAATGTTTACCACTGAAGGACGTTACCAGACTTGGCAAAAAGTTTTATTTTTCCGAATTGTGCAATATCAGTTGTCATGTGTTCCTGAACATTACAGGATAATATCAGTATTGAAATCGGCTGAGCGTTCTCTGGAATTAGGAACAGCATTTTATGCTCTAGTGGAGAACTTCTTCTACATGTTAACGGACAAGGAAAAGGTAATTTTTTGAATGAATTATATCTGCAGATGCGCAAGCGCAGGATAAGACTTGTTTTCTATACGATTTGGTTTTTCATATTGTAATTTATTTTCATTACTGGCCTCGATATGCATGGAAATGTCGTAACATCTATTTCAGCGTTTTGTATATCTGGAAATTCCAGGTGACACTAATTGAAATGGTCCATGAATGGTATATCTGTGATTCAGGAAGTCTTCCTTCCTTGGAAAAATATCTGCAGGTGTGTGTCATTCTACTTGTCTGGTCCCATCTCTGTGTATTTCTGTTCAATTGATGTTCTATGGATAGTCTGCTCGCGTTGACCTAATTGAATTAAGAATTATTCGTCTGGGATTGTTCAATGCATCAACCATATAGGAGATCACAATGATATCCAAAATGACGTGGCAAAGTTCAAAAATATCCGAAACAAGGTATTAAGCGATTGGATCGTGATGATACTAAACTCATTTATTTATACTTTATTTTTTGTAGTTGTTGTGGTATTTACTCATGGTTCCACGCGAAACTCTCAACAGACTATTGATTCAAAGTCTAGAAAATAAGTTAATTGTACCTGGAGTCATAAATGTAAGTTGATAGCTGAAATTACACAGCTTTTTTTGATGTCACATCTTTAGATACTGCGTCCCTGTCGTGCTTTATTGTCGCTCTCAGTCTCGAACAATGTTTCCGAAGGGATTCCAGTTGTCATCGATTCGATTGCCTCCATCTTTCACAATGAAGCGCACAGGTAAGCTAGCGTCAAAAGTCTTCCTCCTTATGTGACACTTATCTCCTTTCGTGATTAAGATGGACGATCACTGAACAACAAGATCGCTTTGTTTATCTTCTTACATCTCTCTGCCGGCAACGACGTGCAACGAAAGAAAAGAATGATGAGGGTTCGTGCTCTGACATCATGTTCAAATTGACGATCGCGCGACCCACGAGTGGGCCAGCATTTTCGGACGATGGGACAACCTATGGGTGGATCCCACATTTCTGGTCGTCTCTTTCGCTCCTTTGATTTTTTGGGATTTAGTGTAATCACAGTGATGTACCTTCAAACGTATTAGTGCAAGCAGTGAAAAAAAAAGCAGAAAAATCAATGAAAAAGCGTTAGTCCCATGCGCAATACACGTAATTAATGCGTGGTCGTCAATGAGTTAAATGCATTTTCATGTGACGAAAACGGATGAAGAACATCATTGACCAAAAGGCAGTTACTTTCAGATACTAATGGTGGTTCAGTTTTGGATGGAGGGAAATTGCTCATGCTCTTTGTTCTGCCTAATCTCATGAAGAGGTCACAAGAAATCCTTATGTTAAAGTTGCTTCATAGGTGAATAAGGTTCGAAATTAATGAAGCTTTCAGATGACTTTGTTTCCAGATTTACACAGGCTGTAGGCTCTAAGGAAATTCATTTCATCTGGACTAGAAGTATAGGTGAAAAGAGTGAGTGATTATTTTCGTTATTTCTGAAGTCATCATAGAAAATACAGGTTGGTAGCATAGGCTTCATTACATCTGCTGGTGTTCAGCACTCACCAATATGACCGATGTTCGGTTTTAGGTATAAAGGCTACTAGTGGCACTTTGGTTTTGTCGCCTTTTCTAAGAGCTTTTCAAATAAACCTCCACAAGATGAAAGAGATGTTGAAGCATACTTGCTACAAACTGAACCCTTCTTTTAATCATACAAACTTTTATAGACAAGCTGAAATTATGTAAACGGAGAGAACTAAGGGTTTTGCATATGGTTGGAACTCGTATAAAGAGCAATCTAAATTTTATCTAAATCTCTCAGATTAAGGTTAAGTGTGAATTGCGCTATATACAAGAAACCTTTGCATTTCCCTTTAAACACTCGCATTTTGCTATTTTAAGCGTCGAATGCTGTACAATCACCTGAGCTTGTCTTGCTGATCGTGGAACTCTTCATGGAATTTGAATCGAAACATCATCAAGCTTCGGAAATTTGTCGTAACATACTAAAATCTCTTGGGGAGAAACTAAAGGGTAAGTTGTCATTCGTTCTTAGACACAAATATCGCATATATGAAAAATCTTAGAAGCGAGGAAGAATTTTAGGCGATGATGTTGTCTTTGAGAAGGATACAACTGATTTTGTTCTCTTTTCACTTCGGCGCTATCATTGGTGGATCAGATATGCAATATGCACTTGGTTTTCACATACTTTATCAGAACCTAAGCAGCAGGTTCGTCACTTTTACGAGTTATTAATTGCTATTAATATTCTTTGTCTGACCCAGTTTTCAAACTAAGACAGCTTATTCCATTTTGAAATACACTGCCCTTTATTATAGCAAAAGTATTCAGTAGGTTTTGCAAGAAAGTTTCTTGGAAGCTCCATAAACTTTCTTCAAAACGTTACAACTATTCAAGGTCAACCTTTTTGTACAAATAACAAACATGGTGCGTACAGTGCTACGCTGTGGTAAACATGTAAATTTCGTAAATAATAAATCTTGAAATCTACAGAGGATGAAAAAAAAAGGTAGATCGGTTTTTTCCAGAAATAAATGCTCTAGAAGCTTGATAACTATTACTTCACATTGATGAGAGTAGTATTAAGCACGAAACAATGCCGAAAGCGTGGCTGGCAAGTTGAGTGGCGAATTTCTCATGTTGAAGTCGAAAAATTGGAACTTTTTAGTCACCTTGAAGTGCAGGAAAACTCAACGCAACTTCTATATCTTGTTTCCACAGATGATGATCAAATCATCATTAGCATAAACTTTATTACCACTACCTTTAGTGTACTTGCATAGAGTGCCGACCACCGCCTTTTATTGAAAAACGTCGCCAACGACCAATAGCGAATTTGGGGAGTAAGCTTGCAAATTTTCATCTCTTTTATGCAACCTTATAAAATGGAGTGCAGGCGCGGGTTGCAAAGGCATCCTCTCCACTTCATCCATGTTAATATTTGATGATTCACCCCGTTTAGTGCTGATAATTCCACACGAAACAAAATTGCTCTTTTTGTCCTTCTGATCCTTTGATTTTTTATAGTGAAATCTACAGATACCGAAGTCGTTCTACAAAGTAAGTACAACTTATTGCATCGAGAAACAACTGTGCTCAGAAAAGAAAACAGAAAATAATTTTCCATAGCGCTCGGGAACTTACTTGTAGAACTAGTACATGTCAAAAACAAAATAAATACCTTCATTCCAACCGATATGTTAGGGGAAATTTCGGTGGTATTGCAAATATTTGCTCATTTTGAACACAAGAAAACAACTCAAGCTTAACTTGACCGTTTTGACAACGAATCAAACAATTTCAAACTATGTCAGTCTTCTAGCCGGCCCTAAAATATGCTAGGAACGAATCTAAGCGGTAACGCATTAGCTATGTAATTGAAATTAAAATTAACCATAAAATTAAATAATTAACCATAAAATTCATTTGATAACTTTTATGGAACCGTTGGCAAAACATGTTGAACGGACAGTGATGTTGGCTTTTTTGACTCACGACAAAGGTTGACATATCGCAATACACATCCGGTATAACAGCACCTACAGGACACCTCTGCTTATGAGTCACTTGACTCATAAGCAGAGAGTCCTCCCCTGTTTTTTTAGGCAAAAAGCGCCGTTAAAGTAGAGCAAAAAGTGGCCTTTTTGGACTTTGTGGCCTTCCGTCACATCCTTTCGACTCGACCAGCC